GGATGGGGATACTGGGAGCACTGGGGATACTGGGAATGGGGGACTGGGGATACTGGGAATGGGGGCACTGGGAGCACTGGGGATACTGGGAATGGGGCACTGGGAGCACTGAGGATACTGGGAATGGGGGACTGGGGATACTGGGATGGGGCACCAGGGTTACTGGGAATGGGGGGACTGGGATAGAAGGGGGATACTGGGGAAACTGGGAATGGGGGGACTCGGTATACTGGGATGGCAAGACTGGGATCACTGGGGAAACTGGGAATGGGGTACTGGGGTTACTGGGGATACTGGGAAAGGGGGTACTGGGGAGACTGGGAGCACTGGGATGGGGGCACTGGGAGCACTGGAGATACTGGGAACGGGGTACTGGGAGCACTGGGGATACTGGGAACAGGGTAGTGGGAGCACTGGGAGCACTGGAACAGGGTACTGGGAGCACTGGGGATACTGGGAACGGGGTACTGGGAGCACTGGGAGCACTGGGGCCACTCTCAGCCCCATCCCTGCCCCTCCCCCACCCCAGGCATCCCCTCCCCCCAAACCAGTGCTCCCAGTACAGCCCCTCCCCCCAAACCAGTGCTCCCAGTACGGCCCCTCCCCCCCAAACCAGTGCTCCCAGTGCTCCCAGTACGGCCGGTTCCAACCCCAAATTTGGGGGGACACGCCCGGGGGGGGGGGAGGGGCACGCCTGGAACCGCCGGAATTTGGGGGTCACACCTGGAATTCCCCAGATTTTTTTGGGGGGTGCTCACCTGGACTGTCCCAAATTTTTAGGGTTTTTTGGGACACCTGGAATGTCCCAAATTTTGGGGGGTGTCCCCAAAACCTCCACCCACCCCCCCCCCCCCCCCGCAGCGAATGCCGGGAACCCAGTCACAGCCCCTCCCCCTCCCCTCCGGGAGCCTTTAAGAGCCCTCCCAGTGCTCCCAGTTTGATCCCAGTTTGATCCCAGTGTGGAGAGGAGGGACCAGGCAGCGCTGCCAGGTACTGGGAGGGACTGGGAGCAAACTGGGGGAAACTGGGAATGAACTGGGTGGGGCTGGGGTGAACTGGGAGCAAACTGGGGGGAACTGGGAATGAACTGGGTGGGGCTGGGGTGAACTGGGAGCAAACTGGGGGGAACTGGGAATGAACTGGGTTGGGCTGGGGTGAACTGGGAGGGCCTGGGCTGAACTGGGACCAAACTGGGAATGAACTGGGAATGAACTGGGATGAATTTGGAATGGACTAGGAATGAACTGGGAGGCACTGGGATGAACTGGGAATTAACTGGGCTGAACTGGGAGGCACTGGGCTGAACTGGGACCGAACTGGGAGGGCCTGGGCTGAACTTGGCTGAACTGGGAATGAACTGGGAATGAACTGGGAGGCACTGGGCTGAACTGGGAATGAACTGGGATGAATTTGGAATGGACTGGGAGGCACTGGGAATGAACTGGGCTGAACTGGGCTGAACTGGGAATGAACTGGGCTGAACTGGGCTGAACTGGGCTGAACCGGCGGTCCCCTCTGTCCCCTCCCCCCCAGCCATGGCCGAGCGCCCCTCCCCCGCCCCGGGGCTCCCGCTGGCGCCGTGGCCGCCGCTGCCCGAGTGGCCGGGCCGCGACCGTCGC